TTAATGTCAAAATCATAACAGAAGATGATTTCCTTAATCTTATCAGAGAAAAATCGGGCATGAAAGTTGAAAATGGTGGTCATGAAGACAATGAAAAACCTACCACAAGCCCCAAGAAAAAAGAAGATGTTAAAATCAAAAAAGAAAAGCACAGTACCACTCCAGAAAAGAAACACAAAATGGAAGAAATCGAAATTAAAAAGGAAAAATTGGAATCACCTCCAGAGAAGAAACCTAAAAAAGAAGAATTGAACAACAACATAGCTGAAACAAAAATTAAAAAAGAAGTCCTAGAGGAAAAGCAGCATATTAAATCAGTAAAGGAAGAATTTCCCAGACCACCACCTGTTACAGAAGATATGATGGCCTGGGTAGACAAATATAAACCAACATCGGTCAAAGAGATTATTGGGCAACAGGGACCGGCCAGTAATGTGGCAAAGTGAGTATTTCCTAGTTGTATTAGTTTCCTAGTAATACAATAATCACCTATCTTTGCTAGGCTAACAAATTGGCTTTCTAAATGGTACGTTAACCATGATGGGAAGAAAAAATTACAAAAGCCAAATCCATGGGCCAAAAATGATGATGGTAGTTTTTATAAAGCCGCATTACTCTCCGGTCCACCTGGAATAGGTAAAATGTTTTCAATAAAATTAAAAATAATCTAACCCGAAATAACGCATTTCAGGAAAGACTACCACTGCAACATTGGTATGCAAGGAACTGGGATTTGATACTGTGGAATTTAATGCTTCGGACACCCGAAGCAAACGACTACTGAAAGAAGAAGTCTCCGAGCTGCTTTCGAATAAATCACTTTATGGCTATTTTTATGGTAATGCCCAGGCTGTTACCAAGAAGCATGTTCTTATTATGGACGAAGTAGATGGCATGGCTGGCAACGAAGATCGTGGGGGTATTCAAGAATTAATCGGACTCATTAAAGAGTCCTCTGTTCCTATTATTTGTATGTGTAACGATCGCAACCATCAGAAGATGCGATCGCTTGTTAACTATTGTTATGATCTGCGTTTTAATCGACCCCAATTGAAACAAATCAAGGGTCGAATCTTAAGTATTTGTGCCAAGGAGAATATTAAACTTGACTCCACTAAATTAGATGAAATTATATCGGCAACTAACAATGATATTCGACAGTCTATTAATCACATCTCATTGCTTAGTGCGGGCAAGGAATTGAATCTAACATCGGACAAAAAATTGTCCAAAGAGGAAGATAAAACAGCACAAAAGGATTTGAAAATGGTAAAAGTTCAAAAATAATTTTATACATTACCAAGTGTATATTTTAATGCAAAACTCTTTCAAGGGTCCCTGGGATGTCGTTCGTAAAGTATTTTCGGCGGATGAACATAAAACTATGTCATTTTACGACAAATGTGATCTTTTCTTCCACGATTATAGTCTGGCTCCATTGTTTGTCCAACAGAATTATTTGATTGTAAGTCCAGCCGGACCCAAGTAAGTATAAAATTCAGATTCTATAACCATATATGTGCTTGATTATAAAAACTTTATCCTTTTAGATCTGAGGTTATAAGCAAAGTTGCCAACACAGCAGACTCCTTGAGTTTGGGAGACCTCGTAGATAAGAAAATTCGTTCCAACTCCGCCTGGGCCCTTTTGCCTACACAAGCGATTTTCAGCTCAGTTTTGCCAGGAGAATATATGAGCGGCCACTTCACGGGCCAAATAAATTTTCCCGGCTGGCTGGGAAAAAATTCACGCTCGACCAAACGTAGCCGTTTGGCTCAAGAAATTCACGATCATACGCGTGTAAAAACCTCTGGCTCACGTCTTTCCATTCGTTTAGACTATGCGCCCTTCTTATTGAATAAGATTGTAAAACCTTTGGTAGACAAAGGTCAGGAGGGAGTTGAAGAATCTCTGGAAACATTGAAGGAATATCATTTGCTTCGAGAAGATATTGAAAGTTTAATTGAACTAAGTTCATGGCCGGGTAAGAAGAGTCCAATGGATGCAGTAGATGGAAAGGTTAAGGCTGCACTCACAAGAGCTTACAATAAGGAGGTTCTGGCATATTCATATTCAGCAACAGCAGGTGTCAAGAAAAAACGTGCCGAGGCCTCAGATGATCTTGATGCATTGGGCGGCGGAATGGAAGAGGGTGAAGAGGGAACAACCAATGCCGCCGTCGAATCCGAGGATGAAAATGATGATAACTTGGAAAACGATGGTTTAATTAAGGTTAGTTTTGTTGAATAATTGTTTAGAAGTTATTCCATTCAATTGATTTTCTTATAGGCGAAGAAGAAAAGTGCATCTTCCACAAAGGCTTCTACGTCGAAAGGCTCAGCAGCCAAAAAATCCACAACTACCAAACCGAAAGCAGCAGCCAAATCAAAGAAATAATTTATTTTGTAATTGCATGTTTGAATTTTGTTGCATTCTTGTGATTATTTTTGATTGAAATATATGTGTATACATTGAATTGTGTAAAATTCTCACAAAAATCAAAAAGGCCTGATCAGCATTGTCAGCATATTGTTACTTTATTATTGGGATTCCGAAGCTCGTTTATGTTTCTTTTCTGCAGTGTCCTCAGTACTGTTTGGCAATTGTATATTAACTGCGGTCAAAGCTTCTCGTATCCACTTTGGTACGGGCTCATCCACAAAGTGTTTGCTCATAAAATCTTTAACAAATGCCGGAAACTGATCTTGTTCAATTGCTTTACGCATTGTGCGCATCAAACGCAATTGAAATGCTATATTGTGCACACTTAAAAGACTACAGGATACACTTTCTATTGTCGCGATGTGGTGGAGGTACGACCGGGTATAGAGTTTGCAGGTACTACATTCACAATCTTCATCGATTGGCCTCAAGTCCAGTGCATATTTTTTATTCTTCAGATTTAATTGACCCTCCATGACCAATGCACAACCAAATCGAGCTGTGCGTGTCGGAAAAACGCAGTCAAACATATCTATACCCAGGGCCACACATACAACAAGATCCGCTGCGAAACCCACACCCATAAGATAACGTGGTTTGTCCTTGGGCAACAGATCGGTACATGTATGAACTGTTCGCCAAAACTCATCTTTGCTCTCACCTCCACTCAAACCGCCAACAGCATATCCCCTTACCTTTCTCTCCATAAGACCGCTCACACATTTCTTGCGTAGTTCCGGATCTAAGCCACCTGTTAATAGAGAGTAACAATCAGATTAAAACGTTCATGATAATTGTAAGTGTTATTCTCACGTGCCTTGAACAATTGGAAATAAACTTTGATCATCGTCTCTGGCATGAGCTTTAATACATCTATCCACCCATCTGATTGTGCGATGCATAGCCTCCTCTACTCTTGGCCCAGTAGTTGTTGTTTTCACCACATCATCCAGCTGCATCATTATGTCAGCACCAATGGCATTTTGTATTTCAATGGAATGTTCGGGAGTCAACATACACTCCGAATTATCAAATGGCGAACGGAAATTTACGCCTTCCTCGGTAATTTCAGCTAATTGCAGCAGAGACACCATTTGAAAACCGCCCGAATCGGTTAGTATTGCCCTGGGCCAGCTCATAAATTTGTGTAAGCCTCCTGCCTTTTTAAGTATATCAATGCCAGGTCGCATGCCCAAGTGGTAGGTATTTGACAAAAGTATTTGACAATTTAAATCAATTAGTTGATCTGGAAGAACTCCTTTCATGGTGCCTTGAGTTCCGACCGGCATAAAGACCGGAGTGTTTACTTCGCTGTGCCTCACAGTCATCAGTCCTGCTCGTGCCTTTGATGCGGAACATTCTGCAATAACTTTATACGTAAGCGGTGGAACTTTATTCGTTGCCATAATCAGTAAGTTTTTATAATTTTTATTTAACTCGGCAATAAAACAAGATAGACCCACTCGCCCACAAATTAGGAGGGAACTGTCAACATGTGTTGTGAAGACAAAAGCAAGGCTGATGTATTAGGGGTACTCGCATCATCCATTTGTTACAACAATAAACTACAATTAAACGTCAAATTTCTGCCCCCTTAATTGCAAAAAAGAAATTTGTCTAAAATATCTTTATTCAAAGTAATTCAATATTTATTTAGTTAATTATTAATTTTTTTAATTCTATAATTATTTCATATATTACTACTTATTTTGACATTCACGGTGCCGTCAACTATGCTGATGCGACTACATAATACTTCTCCCTTGAAAACGAAACCAACTGCTGATGACAATTCTTAAGTAGGATACACACTATTAATAAAAACTGACATTTTAGCAAGAAAGCCGAATGCTTTTATTTGCTTCAACTCTTTGCAGCAGCCAGTCTGGTTACTTTTCCTGCAGGAATTGTCCAGCAACATCTTTCTCAGAGAGAGTAAAAAAATTAGTCTTGCTAATTAAAAAAATATATATGTATTTTCAAATTGAAAGCACAAAAATAATAAACAAACAATAGAAAACACCTGATTAAATGTCAATGAATGAGAAGAAGAAGAGTTGCAAGTGATTGCAAAAAGAAATTTGTCCAGCAAGAATTTTCAAACTCTCTATGAAAGAACTGTCAAAATATCTCTCTCCAACCGCTCTCTTTTGCAAAACTTTCACTTAACAGACGACTTCCACTAACAATTTGTAACAATTGTTACACATTTTAGAGTAACCAAACACACGTATTATTGCGCCATGGTTCCATCCAATTCGTGTTAGGCGTCATCGATAAAACAACAAGCACCAGTAAAGTAATTACCTAACAAGTCAATGTCAGAATTAATGACATTTATCGATAACCACCGTTTTTAATTTGCAAAATTTTATGTAGTCTACGCGTTCGGCTTTGTTTTAAAGTAGAGGTTGTAGGGAATGTTACATATTTTTAATTTTTTTACCAATGTGGCCCCTGCGAGCATAGCTGTCATTCAAAACTGATGTTGCGTACCCAGTTATTTTAAAAAGCTTCCTTTCGAATATTACGTCAATTAATGTTGACAAACAGCTGATTGTCATCATTAATTTATTAATTTTCCCTGAAAAAGACAAAAAATTCTTAACATAGAGGGAGAAAGTATATATTTGTTTTGTAATTTTCCCTTTCATAATAGTGTCAATAAACAAAAAGTTCACATGAAGAAAACTATCAACAATTGATGATCGGTTTGGAATAACAGCAATTTGCGTCGTATCGCTACTGTTGATATTGAAAAGTTTGGGAATTCGGAAGAAATGTTTCGCAGTCGTAGCTGGTTTGGTGGCGGTTGGAATAAACCAAAAAACCGTCTATCATTGGATCATTTGAAATATTTGTATAGCGTTTTGGAAAAGAACACAACAGTATCAGAGAATAATAGAGGCTTGTTGGTGGAATCCTTGCGAAGTATTGCCGAGATATTGATATGGGGTGATCAGCACGATTCCTCAGTGTTTGAGTAAGTGTTGGGTCCCATAGTCATCAGACCCTGCCCGGTCAACTAGCACAACTATTATTAGATATTCTAATTGCTATTCTATAAATATGCATATTCCTTATCTCTAAACTCATTCTTTCAGTTTCTTCTTGGAGAAGAATATGCTGTCCTACTTTCTTCATATAATGCGGCAGAAAAGTGGGGGCTCTAGTTTTGTGTGTGTTCAATTATTGCAGACATTGAATATACTGTTCGAAAACATTCGCAATGAAACTTCTTTGTGTAAGTCAAGTCAAGAACGATATGTAAATATTATTTCTATTTGTATTTCTAACTATTTTTAGATTACCTTCTCAGTAATAATCATGTCAACTCGATTATTGTACACAAATTCGATTTTTCCGATGAGGATGTCATGGGCTACTACATATTGTTTCTCAAAACGCTAAGCTTGAAACTAAACACCCATACCATTCATTTCTTCTATAATGAGGTAGATGTTAATGTACGTAACTACCTTTTGTTAACTACACATATTTTGTTTTTGAATTTCAGCATACAAACGATTTTCCTCTCTATACGGAGGCTATTAAATTTTTTAATCATCCCGAGAGTATGGTGCGAATAGCAGTTCGAACAATTTCTTTAAATGTATACAAAGTACAAAATGCTAGCATGTTGCGTTTTATAAGAGACAAGTGAGTTAAAGTTTGTGTTGTTGTTGAAAATGTTGATCAACTTTTATCTTCGTTTAGAACGGCTGCTCCATATTTTAGTAACTTGGTATGGTTTATTGGTAAACATATTTTAGAGTTGGACAATTGTGTACGCACAGATATAGAGTAAGTTGTAAGGTATTTAATGTTGTAATAAATTAATTGATCATTTGTTCTCTCTCTTTTTAGCCATCAATCGAATCAAAAACTCTCAAACCTGGTTGCCGAACATTTAGATCACCTGCATTATTTAAACGATATACTCCTATTGGAAATAAACGATTTAAATGCGGTGCTAACAGAACATCTGTTACATAAACTTTTTGTACCTCTATATATATTTTCATTAACACCGGCACCACCTCCACCATCTTTGGCATTAGTTACACAAAACTTGGCTGCAGTTTTGAATCGCAATGTCGATATTGACATTCAGGAAATGCAAAATCCCAGAGTATCTTCAATTGTTGCTCTATATCTTTTATCGCTGGTATTTTTGGTGGTGACCCACTCCCCACTGGTCCATGCCCTGGCATGGGTTATATTGAATGGTGATAATAGCGTATTTAAGGAAGGTGCTGCATCAGTTCTGTACGAGGAACATCGTCAAGTTGTGGTGCCCAGTTTTACAGAACCCCGTGAAAGTTTGGAACAAGCATTGGATACAGCGGCTAATTTCTCCGGTTACTCATATGGAGAAGAAACCACCGAGGATAGTTTGGTGACAGCTTCTAATAATGACTCAGCAACGACTAGCAATATCCATCCCGTAGAAGAAACTGAAATCCACAGCTCTACTGAAGCCTTAGAAAATGCTGTTTCGACCTTGTCCAATGCAACGAAATTGGCAAATATCACCGACGAAGAAAAGGAAAAATTACAGCAACTAACATCTCCCACCGCAGTGACGGTGATCCATCCAACATTAAACAGACCTTTTTTGGATACTGTCTTATCGGCATTGGACTGCTCCGAAAATGACTATTTGGCGCTTTTGGCTCTGTGTTTAATATATGCCATGACTTTTAACAAAGGTTGTATTTTTTTGTAAATCGAACTACCCATAAAAGTATTCATATTTTCTTTTCCAATCTTACTATTCATGCTGCTTGCTATTTCTAACTTTAAATTATTACGTTTGAGTAGATGGTATGTAAATGATCACTCATTTCAATAGCTCTTCAATATGCTTATTCCAAACATTTCTTAAAATCTAAGACATTCGCACTGGATACATTTATATAAGCTATAATTGATGGTACTATAACTAACATTAAAATTATACTCTTCTAGGAGTCAAAAATGATTGGTTTCATCAGGTGCTATCCAAATCAAATGGAGCACTCAGTTATAAATCGGAGATAATTGAACGCCTACTGAATATTATTACATTGTCCAATCAACCATGTAAGTAACATAACTTATTTTCCATGCGAAATGTAGAGAGAAAATTTGCCAAATACTCTGTTTCTTTTCTCGTTACAGCTTGTCGTATTCGTCTCATTACTATTGAAATAGCTTTACATCTACTGGTGACCTTTACAAAGCCAACAGAAGATTCGCCTGCCACAACCTGTATAACAGAAGCTCAGCAGGATTTGTTGTTTGCAGCTCGAAATCAATCAATGTCTGTGTTGCGAAATTTCTATAAATCCGAAGATATTTTTCTCGATCTATTTGAAGATGAATACAATGAAATGCGCAAAACCAATTTGAATGTCGAGTTTCTATGCATGGACTCGGCAATTTTATTGCCACCCACCGGTACTCCATTGACTGGTATACCATTTACTAGACGTCTTCCCTGCGGTGAAGTAGAAAAGGCAAGGAGAGCCATAAGAGTATTTTTCTTACTACGCAAAACGTGCCAACAATATCTGAATGAAAAAGAAAATATGCTGCCGTTGACGAACTCCGTTAATTTGGTGCAAATTGACAATGTCTTGGATTTGAGTCAGTATTTTAAAAATGTAAAAAATCACATGTTTCTAAATTTATTTATTTTTTCCAGACAACAGTGATTTGATAGCATGCACGGTTATTGCAAAGGATAACGTTAAGCAGCGTAGATTCCTGGTCATTGATTCGCTGCAGCTGATCCTAGTTGAACCCGATGCCAAACTTTTAGGTTGGGGCGTAGCAAAATTTGTAGGATTTTTGCAAGATGTTGAAGTTATTGGCGATAAAGATGACAGCAGGTGCTTGCACATAACTGTGCATCGCGGAGGTGCTAGCCACAACCGCACACCTCTAATATCTGCCAAATTTTTATTTGATGATCATATTAGATGCATGGCTGCGAAGCAAAGGTTGACGAAAGGCCGTAGTAAGGCCAGACAAAAGAAAATGTATCAAATAGCACAGATGATCGAAATACCGGGCCAGGTGATAGATTCGCCGGTTTATGCTGTTGCTGGTTTAAGATCTGCCAGTGGTCCCAGCAGTAGTAGCAGTTCTAGATCTTCACGTGATCACAGGCCAATCTTTTCTACAAATAATCGAGTTCCTGGTTTCGCAGCTGCTTTACGAAGAGAAAATGTGTCGGGCGGTGTTAGTCGCATTCAAATGGCTCAAAATCGTTCCATAGAAGGGTAATTTTAAATAATTTGTATGTATTTATAAAAGTAATATAAACTTGGTCTCTATATATGTCCAGTATACGTAATGAAGGTTCGGGGCGTTCTCGCAGACGTAGCCCAACTTCCAGTGCTGTTGTAAGTAATGGAGAAACAGGTTCATCGCAGCGCGAACACTCTCATTCTCCCAGTATACGTGCCAAAAGTTCTTCTCACTCAAGAGACAACTCATTACAAAGGACATCACGCGAAGGTAGCCCTCTGACTCAAAGGCCTCGGTATGTGAATATATCAATTATATGCGATTTTTCCTATCAAACATTATCGTTGTATTAATTGCAGGTCCGAAGAAATTCCTTTGGAGGATTTTCAACATTCGCGTAATAACAGTCCGCATGGAAGAACGCCTTCATCATCCTCTAATGCTGGTTCACGTTCACATACACCGTCAAGAGTGTTAAATTTTGATCAAATGTCAGTACACAATGCCTCGCCACGACGAGACAGTGCAATGTCTAATCAAACCAATGGCGTTTCGAGCAGTAAAGATAATGTATTACAAACTCAAAAGTCTTCGGAGGAAACATCGTTTATAGCTACGGAAGAACCAAATTCCTCGAATTGCACAGCTGGTTCTAGTGCTGCTAGACGTAAAGGAACCATAGAAACTGTTTAAATCAGTTCATATTCATATTTTTCGATAGCATATACTTTTAAAATTTAGACTAACATTGAACAATTGTTGCACGGTAATGGTGATTTGTTTTAATAGTTGATAATAGTTTTATTTACAAAAGATTTGATTTTACTGCACTTACAAACATGTTGACTAAAATAATAGAATAATAGATTATACATACCTACCTATATATATATTTAATAGATTGTAAATAACCAATATTTAGAATACAATTGTATGTTATTTTAATACTAAACAAGGATTACTAATAACCGAAGCGAAATCGTGGGTAATATTGAAATACTTAAAATTAAAATAATAACAGTTAACATGATTAAATACATTTTTTGATATTATTTAAAACGTAATTGAAACTGATCGTGAGTTGGTATCACACACCCAGCTCATAATCGAATTTAATAAAACTTCTTCTATTTAATATATGTTGAGTGGAACGAGGCTATTTAGCGGCAGTCAAATGTCTCATAACTTGATTTTGAATGATTGGGGACAAATTTTGAATACTTCAGTTATAGTATTTTCTGGATAGTAGTATGGTACAATAAAAAGGTATGACAGAGCTTTCTACTGATTTAAATTTTTTGAGTGTGTCCCATATCTTTGAAAAATAACAAGTAAAAACGAGTTAAGTCTGGCCTGACGAATTTTTAATACCCATCACGAGGTAAAGAAAACCTTTAAAATTAAAAGTATCGGAGTTAAATATTGGATCCATTTTCAAGTGAAATCGGTTAGTAAACATTCTTCAAACTACCGTGCAGTCGATGGTAACGGGTTTCTATTATAGTGGTTGCAATCTATTGCAAGTTTTTAATGCGAAAATTTAAAAAAAAAATATGGCTAAAATCTCAAAAATATGCGGAAGTACCCCTATATATGTGATATCAGAAATCATAGTCTTATTCCATCAACAGAGTCTATGACAAAGAGTGCATTCCGAATTTTGAACGATTCCGCTGAAAATGTGGCTAAAATCATCAGAACACAGAATGTCGAAAAACGTGAACCTATATGACAGTGATGGTCTGTTCCAGATCCATAAACATTTTACTACGATAACCGTTTTTTTCCTTTATGATATCCAAAAAAAATTGTAAGACTAGTAGATTCTTGCAGGTTCTGGAACAGAACATGAACTGCCACAGGAGATAGAACCCATTACGGACCCTCAGTACCTAATTTTAAACAATTGCATTAGGAAATGGAGCTACAATCAGAGTTAGAAAATGTTACAAACTCTTAATACTAAAATTGGAACAATTCCTATAGAAAATGGTTAAAAAAAACCGAATATAGGGAAGTGCCGTTATATTGGGGCTATACGAAACGTAGACGGATAATTTGACTAAAAGATGCTAATGTTAATGGCGTAGTGCTTTTCCCAAACTTGTTATGTCTTGAACGTTATTTTTATAAAAACAACAATAAAGGGGTTAAGCCTGACCATTTTGCAACAACAATATACTATGGTATCCCGAACAAACAAGCCAACACTATTCAATTTTTACTTCCATAACTTATTTTCGTTTATGCAAATGGAGATTTGAGCAGGTTCTTCAACAGAATCATAAGCATCAGGCGTAGTCGTAAAGTACTAGTGTTACTAAAGGAATACACGAGCTACATCTAGTTCCGATAGTTCTTTTTCCTGAAAAGTGTTTTTGAACTAGTTCATTTCGGAACGACACAGCTCTAGTGACATAACAAGAGTGCATTTTATTTGTTTTAGAATTGGACGGTGTCTTTAAAAATTAAACATGTCTGCGAAAAAGTACACCGACTTGGTTAAATTGACCACACAATATGCCCGCAGGATGAATTATTTGTCCAACCGCATTTTTGGAGAAGTGGCTCGCACCACAAATGATAAATCAATGAAGGTTTGTAACGCGAATTCTTTTTGTGAAAGATGAATGTTTTTGTTTACAATGTGCTCGTTTTATACAGGTGGTGAGAATGTTCAGCGAGGAGCCGGTGGACAAGCGCGACTATGTCGTAAATTGGTATCCCAGACATGTTGAAACACATCTTCTAATGATGAACCTTAGAGATTATGGTCTATTCAGAGACGAACATCAAGACTTCAAAGAAGAAATGAAACGTATGCGCAAACTGAGAGGCAAAGCTCCGCCTAAGAAAGGCGAGGGCAAACGTTCAAAGAAATAGATATACATTTTATTTTCCTAATTTATTGTTGGAAATAAGTAGCTTAGCAAGTCCCTCAAATACAACGTTATCGCCTTGTTTACATTCATAAGTAACAGTGGAAATTTTGCGTTCGTTTTGTGTTCGAATGAGAAATTCACATTCAACATTTATGCGGCAAGGTTTGGGGAATTTAAAGCTCTGCTCCAAAACAATTGTTTCTGGTGGAAAGTGAGTTCCAATGAGACCGGCTATGATCGCATTTAAAAAGGCGCCATGTACCATACGACTTTCCTCTGGAATGCTGTTACTGTGAATAGGATTTGGGTCGCCGGTCAAACGTGAAAAATTGTCGAGATCTTGTTGAGAAAATATTTTTACCAGTTTGATAGGCTTTTGTTGGGCGGCGGGTGTAGTACTCAAGCATATCTTAAAAAAGCTACTATTTAGCTGGCTCCTCAGTAAATTCATAGCGTCTACAAAAATCTAATAGCAGTAATTCCGAAATATTGGCCAGTCTTTTGTTGTTCTTGTATTGGGAATTGATGTGTTGGATACGTTTTACTGTGTCTCTGTAGAGTATGTCTCCTCTTTCTCCTTGTTGATTATTTAGGAGCTGATATATGATTGTACAGCAGTTCAGGAGAATTTCAGTATTCTGCGAATTCAAAAGCAATTCTTGAATAATTTTAAAATTAACGGAATTGCTTAGGTGCAACGATATTTCGTGGTCTGAAAACTTAATGAGTTAGTGATATTTTGAAAGACGAATAATCCTATACATACCCAAACTTATGTTGCACAATCCAGCGATGCCATGCAATTTCAGTCTGTCATTGTTGCTTCGCAACAACTCTAGGAACAGTTGAACCGCTTCCTTCTTTTTCAAATATTCCCAATTAATGGGATCATACGCAAAGTTTGCAAGATTAGCAGTAACTTGTTCTTGAGCTTCTATAAAGTTAAGTAACTTAAAACGGAATCTAGCAGAACGTTAAAATTTCATACCAACATTCGTTGTAGTGTAGTACTCTTCCACTAGGTGTTCTATGAACTCTTCGCGATTAATTCCAGGACATGGGGTCTTTCTTTTCAAACTCTGATGGGAACTGAACATAATTTGTTCCGAAGTTGTATCGTTTTAGATCGATCGAACTTGTTCAAAGAAACAATTCTTTGAAAGGAACTATCGGAACTGAATCGGAATTTATACTGTTATTATTATTATTGCCGTATTATTATTCCTAAAAATATGACACGAATAATAATAAATTTAAGCACTTCTGGAAGAGAAATTCGCTGTTTTGTCGTAAAAACTATTCTCATTGCATTCTCCTTTACCCTGCGTTTAAGCACACAGAACAATATAGTTTATGGTCACAATACTACAATTTGTTTTTGTGACGAAGAGTTCTGCCATTTGCGAAGACAATTGGAAATCATAACTGAAACGGTTTTATGTTGGTTTAATTGTGCCATGGTACAACACATGGTAGAAAAATACAGGTAGACGCATCGACGCTTGAAACCTAAATAGTTTATATGTTTTCTTATACGAGGCTATTATAATTAGAGTTTTTCGACAATTTTTACAAATTTAAATAATTTTTCATTCAAAATTTTCAATTCCATAATTTGTACGACTGTTCATTGTCCCAGCAGCTGTGTCGATTAAAATCACATATTTAATCGGATTCCGTTTTGTTTAGAAGCACTCAACGATGGTGTTGTCCCTTCGAAAATAAGCACGAATTTAAATTCTGTGAGACATGCCCACAACCTTTACAATCGGTTTGTAAAACATGCCAAAAAAAAATGGATTTTCTTTACAGATGCAACTTTGTGCAACTAGCCCACGAACGATACACTCTTGAATGCAACCTCTCCAGTTGTACAACTAGTTGTATCGTGTGTGGCTTGTATAAAACGCACTCTCTTTCACAATATTTATCTTTTGTATACATGCTTGTAAATACAACTCTGGCCTTTAACTGCACCTCACTTAAGCTCAATTCCGGTAATCAACTTTCTTTTTGTCTTCGCCGTCTGAGAAGAACAGTCGGTATATAGAACTTGAGAAATGGTAAGAAATTATTAAGTAATAATTTATTTAAAGAAATAAAGTTTTTGAACGTTTTGATCTCGTTAGAGTGGCAAACAATATATACACACACAAATAACTGGTATGAAGTTGTGTGAATAAAATAAATGGCGATACCTTTCGTCTTAAGAAAACACGTGTTTGTCTTCGTGCCATAAATTTCTTTTAAAAATCAGTGAAATTGACATATTTTTGGAAAAATAAGCTATACTCGAAATCTTGTGTGTTTATGTTGACTTGCCACGTTTTGACTATTTCACAAACATAACCTCAACGTTTGCATATTTCATTTGCCAAATTGTAACATTCCCATTTGTTTTTCTATTTCAGTCTCACCGTAAATTCTCGGCTCCCCGCCATGGTTCCATGGCCTTCTACCCCAAGAAGCGCTCTGCTCGCCATCGTGGTAAGGTAAAGGCTTTCCCCAAGGATGACCCCAGCAAGCCCGTCCATTTGACTTGCTTCCTTGGCTACAAGGCTGGTATGACTCACATTGTCCGTGAAGCTGACCGTCCTGGCTCAAGTAAGTTTACAACAATCGACATATTCTTTAATCAATTCAATATTTTTTCTATGATGAGAAACAGTTAATTTTTTATGGTTAGAACAAAAATGATTCCCATGATTATAATTTAACTAGGGCGGACTGATCACTCATCATGAAAAATCAATATTTCTACGCTATTTGCAAGCTTCTAACAATTTGTTTTCTTTTGTATTCCCGCATTATAGAGATTAACAAGAAGGAGGTTGTTGAAGCCGTTACCGTTTTGGAAACTCCACCAATGATTGTTGTTGGTGCCGTTGGCTACATTGAAACTCCATTCGGTTTGCGTGCCTTGGTTAATGTTTGGGCTCAGCATTTGTCCGAAGAGTGCCGTCGTCGCTTCTACAAGAACTGGTATGTATTTATTGTCACGACGCCATTTTGTTTTACTGTCAACGACACGTGTTCCTTCAAGCAATTGTGTGATGGTCGCTTTGTTAAATGATGATAGATGGTATCTGAGAGCTCTTATGAGGATATTTAAATGTATTACCATCTCTGCCTGCCTTCCTTCTGATACTACAAAGCACCCAACACCCTTTTTTTCTAACTAGTGGAACCACGTTGAAATGAGATAATTTTTCTTTGTTATACCTTACTTAATGTAAAAATCACTATAAAGTTCTTGGATCAGTGTTACACTGAGAGGGCTTTTAAAATACCAAGTGTCTGGATGAGCTATGAAATTTGACAATTTGTTGAATTGGATAAAATTTCATTGTGGCGAGCCCGGACTGGAAGATGCAATCTCCGCTCACTTAACGTGATGAGGTTCGCTTCCCTTTTGTTTATTTTAAAAACAGCTACGATATTGCGTTTATTTTTGAAACCAATGGAGCTGCCCGTCTAGAGGATAACTGGATCGAAATCTCACGTTGACAATGCTTTAAAGCGACGACATACAGTAATGCCGCCACATTTTGACACCAAAAGCTAACAAAAGATTTCATTGATTGTAACCAGGTACAAATCCAAGAAGAAGGCTTTCACCAAGGCCGGCAAGAAGTGGAGCGATGATTTGGGCAAGAAGAGCATTGAAAATGACTTCCGCAAGATGCTCCGTTACTGCAAAGTCATCCGCGTTATCGCCCACACTCAGGTAATTATTGCAACATTCAGTATAAAATCGAGACTCATATAGCGCGACGTCCTTGGGCATTAACGCGCTGTGTTGTAGCTGTGCCTTCGGGTATAGCGGCGACGCGGCGTGTCTATGTTCCTAAAAGGCGGTCTGGCTGTGATGCTCAATGCACAGTAATTAACCGCAACGTCGCAGATCAAATTGCCCTTCGGGTGGCGATTTGTGATATATTCCACTAACTGTTTGTAGCCGCTTAGGTCATGACCATGCAGTTAAACCATATCACAGACATTCCCACATCATCCATTTTGTTGCATTTTTATTTGAAACATTCGATTCTAATGAAACATTTCATTTAATTTTTGTAGATCCGTTTGATCAAGCAACGCCAAAAGAAGGCCCATGTTATGGAAATCCAATTGAACGGTGGTTCCATTGAAGATAAGGTTAAATGGGTTAAGGAACACTTGGAAAAGCCCATCCCCGTCAGCAATGTCTTCGGCCAAGACGAAATGATCGATTGCATTGGTGTCACCAAGGGTAAGGGTTTCAAGGGTGTCACTTCCCGTTGGCACACCAAGAAATTGCCCCGCAAGACCCACAAGGGTTTGCGTAAGGTTGCCTGTATTGGTGCCTGGCATCCTTCTCGTGTGTCGACCACCGTCGCCCGTGCTGGTCAAAAGGGTTACCATCACCGTACCGAAATCAACAAGAAGATCTACCGTATTGGTGCCGGTATCCACACTAAGGATGGCAAGGTAAATATTACTCATGTTATTCAAGATTCCATATTTGTATATCTGTGATGATAAACTCATAAAGTTCCGACATCAAACATAAAACTTATATTTGATTAACCACATGATATTTAAATGATAGGACTGACTCCATATATGCATTTAATGTGCATTTGATATTTACGCAACTCTCATTGATTCACTTCTTTCTTCTTTGCTTTTTAGGTTATCAAGAACAATGCTTCCACTGAATACGATTTGACCGACAAATCCATCACCCCCATGGGTGGTTTCCCTCATTATGGTGAAGTCACTAACGACTTTGTCATGATCAAGGGTTGCTGCATTGGCTCCAAGAAACGTGTCCTTACCTTGCGTAAGACTTTGTTGAAGCACACCAAGCGTTCTGCTTTGGAACAAATCAAGCTCAAGTTCATCGATACCTCCTCCAAGATGGGTCATGGTCGTTTCCAAACCCCTGCCGACAAATTGGCCTTCATGGGTCCACTCAAGAAGGATCGTATCAAGGAAGAGCAAGCTGCCACCGCTACTGCTACCACCACCTCTGCTTAAATTTAATATTATACATATATTATGTATATACATTTCCCAGAAGCGTATGGTTTTCCATATGAAAAATACCTTCGTATGGTAGAAAATAAAGGATGTTATTAGAAAAGATTTGTCGTTTTTGTTACTTTGTGGGTAAAATAGGTATAACGATTAAAACAGTGTATCTTTTTCGGAGACTCCATACAAGTTATGATCTCTCGTTAAGAAATGGGTATCAAAGCCAGACAGAGGGCAAATCATTATGAACGTTGCAAGCCTTAGATGCTTGCTAAAATGAGAGGAAACCACACAGCATTTTGTTTAGCAATACAAATGCTGAGAGGCCAACGCGAAATGGACGCGCTGCGCGTTGCGATAAGTTACGCTTGTCACATACCACGCGTCACAGCGCGGATTATACACAAAGCATATGTCTACCTTGTAGCGACATCTAAATTACGCGATTTGTAAAGATTCGTCTGACGTTTTGCCAGAGGGGTGCGAAGATTATTTAAATAACGTTTTAAAATACAAGTTTGGTGTAAGCATGGTACAATGAAGACTACGTAGCATGGCAGAAGAATACAGGTAGTCCCATCGAAACACCTGCTGAAACAATGAACTGTCAAATTAATTTTGAAATTGAAACCTATTAAAATATACTTATTAAAAAAAAAAACAAAATTTTTGACGTATCAATGTTCCCTTGCGTCGATCCATCTACTTGTATTCTACTTTGTTTTTATATTCGCCTTTTGTTATTCGTTTTTTTCACAACGCGGGACAAAAATTCCACAACTAAATATATGAAGCATATGTGTATACTGAGTCTGTCTGGTTACTTTTGCTGCAACTATTGCTCAGAAACTTCTTCCATTTACAATTAAAAAAACATGTGACTAAAAAAAGTCAAAAAGTCGGTAGTCCTAATAAAAAAATGTACAAACCAATAATGTGCAATTTTTTTAAAATTATAAAATTTCAATTTTTATGAATTTTATTTAATCGTTAGTTTAATCGTTAAAACACAAACCTTAATTTTGACCAGTTGATTTTTATATAAATGCACATATGGCTGACATCCAACGTCTTTATAAACTAGAGGTTTCACTTCAAATTTCAAGTCCATATTCCCATCTCAAATGAGAAGAGGGATATATAAAATCAGAAGCACATGATGTCAGACCTAACAAAATAATCTAAAACGACGAAATCTGTTGATTTCCCCAAAGGTTAAGAAAAGCCCAATACTTGAAATAAATTGTTCATGTATAAACTCAAAATTACAATTTATTTAATAAAAACGTCATTTATATTGTAAAGTATGTACATTGTTGGTTTTTATTTATTTTGTAAAATACTTTTCTCTATTTGTGTTTGGTTTTGAAATAAATAAAAGAATGATATACATTTTTTGTTAGTTAGACATATAGTATTTAAACGTACAGCTTCATCTTCTTCTTCTTCATGCAGACATAACAGGTTTATTTATCATCAATTCAATATCACAGGGCAATACAAAAATCTCCTGAGAAATGGTACGTTTGTTTTCATCGTTTCGTTACATTTTTATGAGTTTTGTGTTGGGTGTTTGTTAAGTTAATTTTGCTAAAGCTAAACACAAATTGGGCAAACTATTTCAACTGGACAATTTAGTACTGTAAAAAAATAAAATAAATAAATAAAATGATGAAAAAATGAACATTTAAAACTTAAAAAAATGAGACAACTATTTTAGTTCGTAATGTATAATGGCTATGATTTATATTGGGACATTACTCTTCTTTAGGTTTTTGCATAAAATATTGATTGTACATGGTGTATGCTAGACCTAGTGTCAGACATCCAACAACTGTGCCCTGCGCCGCCACACGTAACTGCATAAGGAACACGCTTGTGCTCATCGTTCCACGATGTTTGTATTTATAGGCGCCAATGAGACCGGCAGCAACGAAACCAGCCAGACCTGCAAAAGAATGTTAAAAATTGGTTATTGTCTGGTTTTGTAAACTGTTTTTGAACATATCCTTCATTAACTAAGATAGTTAATGAAGGATATGTTCAAATATAATAGCATCTCTACAGAATCAACATATCTTTACTTATTTTTTTTTTTCAGTAACTGAGTTTTTTTTAGTTTTTTTAGTTTTTTAAAATTCAATTTTAAAATGTTTTCTACATTGTCTTATATCGATTACGAGTTTTTTGATATGGACTCTAATAGCTCAATTCGTTAAGTTGCTAAGTGCAAAATGTTTACAAAATAACAGCTGATTAAAAAATTATCTACAAAACAATGAAAAGTGTTTCAGACACCCCATTGACTCATACTTTTAAATTCTACGTCACACTGAAGTACAGTCTCTGTTGCTTTCGTAACAAGCTGAGGAAACGAGATAGAGCACATAGTTCCTGTGGTGATCTCTGGAGAATCGCATTCTAAGGAGATTTAGCCGTGTGTTTTTGTAAGTAAAGGACAGTCCGCATTTACTGTATTTTAATTTAGTTAACTGATAATTGACAGTCAATCAAAAAATGCAGTGTTTTCGCGGAGAGAAGAGATCTTTTATATTTTGAAAGGGACAGAATTGATTGAACCCGTGGAGAATGAAATAATTGAACCAGTGTCTATTTATGTAGATAGTCAAGCGGCTCCTCAATTAATCTGTACATTACTCTCCGGCTTTGCCTGAGGGTACCTGGTCATTGTAATATCGAAGGAAATGAAAAAGCCGATGAATTGGAAACGATGGGTTCGCACTCAACAGACCTTGAAGTCGCCGACATGTTGAAACCTACATTTTAACAGAGCTTTAGAACTACTATTAAGGGAAAAACGAAAGTGGGCACATATCTCCTCGCGTAGAACTTAGTTTCTGCTAATTATGAACTGCAACTTTCGATTAAGAACGGCCAAATGGGATAACTCTAAAGTCGATTACGGCAGGCTGTGTGAGGGTAATGAAGAGAAAAAAACGATCGAACACCTTTCATGCCACTGTCCTGCTCTATCAAAGCAACGACCTATGGGGGAACATTCGACTCATGACCTCAGTGTGCATTTAGACACGGATTCTTTTTTCATCTATAACTTGTCCATCCATTCTATTTCTCTGGAAAGATCTATCACCTTTTATATTTTGCAACCTTCATTCATTCTTACTTTTCTTTTCTTCAAATACCAAATTTGAAACAATTCCGGTGAATAATGTCGCTAAAATCATCAAAATACCGAATATCGGGAGGTACAGTTATATAAAGCTGCCCTCAGACACACCAACAGTTGGCACAACTTGTCACTTTTAAGTTGTATTAAAAAGTTGGTCGGTCTCCTCGCACGTACCAACTTTTCATACAACTGTTGTACCAAATTTTCATTTACAAAGTATTTTTGAAGCGTCAACATGAACTCGGATGCTCTTGCGCTACTTGGAATTGATATAATTTTTATGATTATGTTTTGTTTTCGTTTCTCTTCTTGCGCTCAGCGCTCAGCTTATGTATGTGCTGCTTCACCAAAGTCAAGACATAAATGAAGAAAACACTGAAGTTGGTACAACTTGCCCTCGCACGCACCAACAGTTGGCCCAACTTACGAAATGATCAAAATTTTTTGATATTTCCAACCAACTTCAACCAACTTTCGAAAAAGTTGTACAACTAGCCCTCAGACGCACCAATAGTTGTACCAACTTGTCACAAGTTGGGCCAACTGTTGGTGTGTCTGAGAGCAGCTTAAGGACTATACGAAGTCTTAGACCTGCACATACAATTTTCTGTCGTAGGCTGTAGGAATTTCCCGAAAAAAAGTTATTGTTGATGGAGTTCAAGCGTAATGGTGTGATTTCCTTTTATTTGACTGGAAAACCACTAGTGGCTATGGTTAGAGCACTCCAGCATTTAAATGTAAATAAATCTTTTGTATCGCTCGTTACCGTGATACTGGTAGAGTAGCCCGACGTCAAGGAAGTGATGAAGAAAACAGAAACATCAGCAGAAATGGTTCGAAAACTAAAGAAGCAACTTGATCGAAACCCGCGTCGCAGTGACCGAAAAATGGCTCGTAAGATGAACATATCGCAATATTTCATTCGTCAAATATTGAAAAATGAGCTCGGGGTAAAGCCATTGAAATTCCAAATAGTGCAAGAACTTACACCGCAACAGAGAGGAAATAGACTCAAAAGAGCTTAAGAGTAGCTTCGCTTGGCCGAGAGTGGTGAACTGCCGAATTTGGTTTTCTCCGATGAAAAAAACATTCCTTGTCCAGCAGTTTGTAAAAAAAACAAAATGATCGTGTTTACTTGCCAAAGAGGTCAGCTGAAAATGTGCACCTTCGGTTGGCCAACAGAACACAAGCGCCGATGGTCGCTATCCGCTCGTATTATCCGATTGTGGCATCAGAATAAATCCGCAGACCTTGGACATTCCAACAGGACTCAGCACCATCGCACTCAGCACGCGCCACCCAATTATGGTTATAAAATGAGGTTCCTCGCTTCATTTCCAGCGCACAATGGCCCCCAAAATCTCCGGATACCAATTCGTTGGACTGTTGTGTCGGTAGTATTTTGGAAAGCAAGGTTGGTCCTAAAAAATACCAAAGTGTCGATCACCTCAAGCAAGCGCTTCCCCGGGAATGGGCCAACATACCGCAGAGCAACATTCGGGTAGCGTGTGACGGTTTCATTAGCCGTTTAAAGCCATAATTCGTGCCAAAGGTGACCAATTCGAACAAGTCAAAACTTATTCTAAATTTTGATGGTACATTTTTTGCTTTCATTTAATTAATTCATAATTCATTAACATTAAAAAAATGTAAAAATTATGACGTTTGACTTTGTTGCAGTTTTTTTTATCTCACCCTATAGTTTGTGGTGTCTTAAATGTATATTTCAAAGGTGTTAAGACGTCTCAAAATCATGTTATCACGATATAGTTCATGGTATGAAATGTCGTTTTGAAATTTGGCACACACATTAATACCAATTTTTATATGCGTGATTTTAAAAACCATCTTAAAACGGCATTTAATATTTCTCTTGTTTCAGTTAGATGATGCCAAAATTTATCACCATGTTTATTTACTTTAATTAACGTTTAACCCGTCACAAGTTTATTAAAACGAATTATCGGGATTCGTGTGGAAAAATTAGTTTGACCTACAATATGTACTTGAAATTTCAAACATTTCTGTTCAATATGACACATTTCGTTAGTCATATGTGAATTGCTTTGAAACGAATCAATCAATAATCAGGACAGACGTCATATTAAATTTAGTTTTGAAGTTTTTAACAAACATTAATATTACTTTTAGGATGTGTGCTATTATTAATGGGATTTAGCGCTCCACGTGTGGGTAGGTACATTATTCATGAAAAAGTACCGCCGGATATTTAGTATTTTACTTATTAAATTGAATAATACCCAAAATTATCACAATGTTTTTTACTTTAAATTAAGGCCATCAAAAGTTAATTGAATCAGACTTTCGTGCTGCACGTGGAACAAAAAATTATTTTGACCTACAGTATGTACTTGAAATGCCAAATATAAATATTTTATATGAAAAAAATTCGCTAGTCACAGCTTTGAAATGAATTTATCAAAAAGTAAACCCCCTACAAAATGATTACAGAGGTAAAGTACAGAAGCTTTCATTATTTCCCAAATGTAATAATTTACAAATCACTACTACATTTCTACATTTTTAAATAATTTAATTTTTCATATGAAATATTGTAAAATTATTATACTAACTCTAGGAACCAGATTTTTATTTAATTGTTGTGAAAATACATGTAAAAATAGTATTGCCATCATTTGGAAAAATTATTAGTTACACATATACAAAAATAAGCAAACATCAAAATGTTTACAAAAGAGATAAATGCAGAACAACTTTATTTCAATTCCCCGAACGCAAATACATGTTTATAGCTTCTTTTGTAATTAATAACAAATTTTATTTGGAATTACATCATACACAAATTATGGCTTGGCTGTTCAACAAAAGAGATTAGCGCGTCATTGCTCGCTCGTCAGACATACAGACAGCTCATGATTAGATAACACAGAAGTGCAAGTCCTAAGTCAAATGCTTATGTCTTCTATTCCTGGACCAATGTCTTCTGCCCAACATGACACATGCATACAATCAAGGTCATGGCCATGGGGTGTATTCACCACCATGATACTACACTTTTTTTTGTAAATTTCCATTGGAAAAAATTAGCGAAAAGAGAATGCTCACAAAAGAGATGGTCAACGTCACAAAAAGTATTCACACTTTGTGCTTTGATTACGGAAACAAATTTTGCAGATATTTGGCATCATGTGGTTCGATAGCTCTTGGCAACAAAACAAGTGACTTACCCACAACCATAAATGGGGAATCCTTGGCCTTTTTCGACAATTTGCCACCTTCATCTCCAGGCTCATCAAAATAGGATTTAGAACTCATGACGTTGGCAGGTACTTAACCGTTTATTTAACTACTTTTTTAACAAATAAGCGAAGACGTTCCCGTTCACTCTCTCATTGACTGGCTTTTTTCAAACTAATACAAAAATTTGGTTTTGCAAAAATAAAACCAAATCGAAAGAGAGAGAGTATAGGGATACGTAACTCGAGTTTTGACGATAACACTTGAAAAGTCTATAACAGAGTAGACACTATCAGTATTGTCCATGTGGACACAATAGTGATTAGAATATTGGAACTGTCATTTTCAATGGGAAGAAATCACCCATGGCGCAATGATAAGATATTACACCGATAAGACGAATTATCAAAATTTGTCAACGTTTTGTTTCGTACCCAATAAGTGTTTTGACAACTAATCTAGATGATCAGCTGCGGTAAATTTGGGACCTATTGATTGTGCCATGAAATTACCAATAATGCGTTTATGTGATTCTATTTATCCATTTTATTTGAAAAAGTTTATTATTTATTGGACAAAGGATCAGCGTCCTAACAAGGTAAAACTCAAAAATTCAAAATTCTGCTGAGCATGGCTGGAATTGGAAACGCGAACCTCGGTGTGTAGCCAACGAAAAGTTGCACTTTAAAAGTTCCAAATATGAGCTTAACCCGTTTTCTTACAACAGCACTACAACAGGTATATGGATTGGAAGCAATGTAGTTGTCGTTTACAAAAGACCGATCCCTACAAGAACAAACTTGGCTGAGGAAAGGATTTGCTAGTAGAACTTGAATCGGGCTTGGATGGTGTTCGTGGTTTAATTCGTATAAACACATTCGCAATAACTTAAGGTGGGAATACATAATGCGCTTATTTGGGTGGCTTAAGTTATCGGCAGGCTTCTTCGTAGAGGAATAAAGGAGTTTTATTTTAACTAAGTTCGATTTTGGCCCTAGGCTCCTTTGTTCATTTCCGAAGAAGCCAGCCGATGACTTAAGCCAGCCAAATAAGCGCTTTATGTATTCCCAGCTTAAGCTCCTTTGTTGATTTCCGAAGAAGCCAGCCGATGACTTAAGCCAGTCAAATAAGCGCTTTATGTATTCCCATCTTTAGAGATTTATAGAGCATGATTTTGAAAAGAAAATTTTAGCTTTCATTCATTTTTCGCTTTTTTGTTTATTTATTCAAAATTTATGCCACAAGTTGCTTTGTTTACTTGACAAATTGTTGCATTTGTTCACAGTAATTCTGACATTATAACCCATACAGGTAGGTCTCTATACTTGCAGCTTTTTTCAACTTAAGCCAGCCAAATAAGCGGTTTATGTATTCCCACCTTAAAGATTTATTTCGCAATAAATATTTCTTTAAAAATAAGTAGATTTGTATATGTTTTCCTATATGGCGCTAATCGCCTATGCCGTTTTTAAACAATTTTTACAAATTACAATAATTTTTCATTCAACAATTTCAATTCCAAAATTGGTTGGTTTGACAGTTCATTGTCCCAGCAGCTGTGTCGATGCGACTACCTGTATTCTTCTACCATGTCAAAGCATATTTAACTTGTTCCTTCTTTTCCCCAGTGAACTAACGTGTTCATTTGCAACCATCTGTTGTATGTGTTTGTTGTTAGCTTCGGTTAATTTGATTTCACAAGAAACAGAAAAAAACACTGGTTGAGATGAGTTCCTGGCATCCAGAAGATGAAATATCCATATCGGATTCCGAAGACGAGGATGATGGCTTGAAAAAAGCTTTTCATGGCCGGGATGCCATTGTTTTTGTGGTTGATGCCTTTTTGTACCATGAACCGGACTTTTTGATGGCAGCGTTCTCCTTAATCCGGGAAGCTTTTTTATCGGGACTGCTTGTGAATGACAAAGATCTTATGGCTTTGATATTGACTAATACTAAAAACTGTCCTGAACCCAATGAAGCCAACTGTTTGGACGCCATTGTGATGCCCGAAAATTGCGCCGTATTCCTGCCTCCACGTCAATTGAATACGGCCATTGTTAAACATTACTTGGAATTTCTGGAAACTGTTTCCGAAGATTTCGAAGAAGTCTATGGTGTGTGTGAAAATGATGGTGCCAACTTTTCTCACATCTTACGTTTATGTTTGGATTTGGTTGACCAGTGCACCTATTCCGTAGACAATACCACAATCGTTTATTTAACCGATAAAGATACGCCTCATCCAGTTAATTCCGAGGCATATGGACATGCACTACAGAAAGCTTCTGATTTGAGTGGCAAAGAGGTGGAATTCCAAATTATTCCAATGTGGGATGAATTTAACTATGATGTATTTTACAAGGAATTTATATGTCTGGTACATAACATTGAGCTAGATTCATTTGAGCCCATGGACCCTCAACGTTCAAGAGAAATGCTGGCAGATCGCAAATTCAAACAAAATTTTGTTAGACGTTCGTTGGGACACTTCAAACTAACTTTGGGCCCTGATTTGGCGCTTTCTGCTCAATACTTTAACTTCTACCAGAAAGCTAAAGGACCTCGTAAAGTTTTAATTCGCCGTGCCGACAATGCAGTAATACAGAGAAAACGGCTCACCAAAGTATTCAAAAAGGACCCTGAAACGGAAGAGTTAACTGATGGACGCTTGATTAACATTACCGACGCTTGGTACGAAATAAATTTAGGCAATACGCCCATACGCCTATCCTACGAACAAGTCAATCGTGTCCGTAATCTACATCAGCCTGGTATGATGTTATTGGGATTTCAGCCACGTTCATGTCTGGATAATTTCTCATATTCTAAAACGTGTAACTTCATGTATCCTGATGATAGTCATATTGTTGGGTCTAAACGTTTATTCCGTGCTCTCTGGGAACGTTGTAAGGCTAGAGATAAGATTGCCATATGTTTGTTTATGAGCAAACGGAAATCAATGCCCCGCTATGTGGCCCTGGTGCCAGAATCCAGAGAAGATGCAGAGAGCGGATCGCACTACTCTTTAATTACAAATGATGGCTTCAAAATAGTCTACATTCCCTGTGCATCGTATGTACGTGAATTGGATCCGTCCGAATGGAATTCTATAGAGAACAGTGCATCTGGTGAACAGGTTGATATTTGCAGTAAAATTGTAAAGAAGTTCCGCTTGGGCTACGATCCAACAATGTTCTGTGATCCGGAATTAGATCAGCTGCAAACCAAACTATTGGGTCTGGCATTTAATGTTACAAATGAATCTACGGGCAGCCGTTATTTTCCCGACGCAGAAATGCAAGATAAACGTATTGAATCAATTCTACCAAAGTTTCAAGAGCTCTTTGGTGAAGATGAGGAACCTGCCAAAAAACGTTCAGCCGCCGCCAGTAAGGCAGATGGCTCAAATGCAGCTAAAATTCCAAAATTGTCGACAGACAATTTGAACAATAAAGATTATGTTTTGGATATGGCCAACAAAAAGGCACTGGATTCCTGTACTAAGGATCAGTTGCTACAAATTTTGGAACAACATTACAACAGAAAAGTTGCCAAGTCAACTAAGAAGCAGGATCTTTTAGATATAATTTACAACAACTGAAAGAGTTTGAATAAAAATGAATTTGTTATTCTTTTCAAAAGAAAAAAGTAGTTGAATTGGGTCTTAAATTGGAAATGGATAATGAGATTCGATATTGAGTAAAAAACCCAGAATAAATTGGCAATTTTGAAAATTCGTCCTTGGAGGATTCTAAAAATGGCATTTCGAATAGTTTTGCTTACAAATGTCACAAAATAAAGAATGAATGAATGAAAAAGATGGGAATGCTAGTTTCCAAATTCAAATTTATCAAGAATAAAAAGGCAAGTAAATTGTAAAGCTTACTTTGCAAAGATTATCATTAATTTTTGAAACTATATCTAGTTTGAAATGAGTTTCGCAAAAAAGAAAAGGTTTAAACAAATGTGGGATGTTAGAAACAATAATTTTTAACAAAATCTGTGGATAAGAGACATAAAATTGTAGAAAATTTAAAAAAAATATTCAAAGACCATTAATTATGTACCACATAAACATTACCTTAGGAAAAAATCAAATATAAATATGAGCGATGGAAGTACCAAATATAGTTTAAACTTGGCACATCGTAATATTTAGATAAGACTTAGGCTAGGTACAAATATGGACAATATTGGCCGACCTCTTCATGTACACCCCCACTGAAACTTTCTTACTTGTTAGTATTTATTATACCATTATTGGTATTATAGACAACACGAAACACCATTGAAGCAAAGTGTTTCCTTATCCCTGAATACTATTTAAATGCTTCAAACTCCCTTGTGTATCGCGTTTCGTTCATATAACAATAAGAACTTATCTTTCCGATCATTCAATACTAATGGTGCAATATTTAGCGATTTTTAATACCTCGTTTTGTTTAATTAAACCCCATGTTGCTTACATTTTACTACAATTTTTCAAACATATAGTCGTATTACACAAATCTTTAAGACAAGACATAAAAGATATGCAGGGTGAGATAAAAAAAAACTGCAACAAAGTCGAAGAACATAATTTTTACATTTTTTTTTAAATTTTATTGAAAAAAAAAAAAATGTCGGAAACAGCATCAAATTTTAGAATAAGTTTAGATTTGTTCGAATTGGTTACCTTTGGCATAAATTATGGCCTTCAAACGGCCAGTGAAACCGTCACACGCTGCCCGAACGTTGGTCTGCGGTATTTTGGCCCATTCCCGGTGAAGCGCTTGCCAACCTTGCTTTCCAAAATACTCTAGACACAATAGTCTAACGGATTGTTATTTTTGGTGGACATTGTGCGCTGGAAATGAAGAGAGGAACCTCATTTTGTAACGATTCTTGGGGAGCGAGTGCTGAGTGCGATGGCGCTGATTCCTGTTTGAATGTTCAAAGTCTGCAGCCAAAATTTTTGCGATAATATTCGGCATTTATTGTGATGCCAAGGTCGATTAATACGAGCGGAGAGCGACCATCGGCTGCTATGGCGGCCCACACCATCACCATGGTCGGCGCTTGAGTTCTGGTGGCCAACCGAAGGTGAACATTTTCAGTTGACCTCTTTGGCAAGTAAACACGATCATTATGTTTGTTTACAAACTGCTGGACAACGAATGTTTTCTCTGATCGGAGAAAACCATATTCGGCAGTTTACCACTTTCGGCCAAGCGAAGCAATACTTTAGCTCTTTTACGTCTATTTTCTCTCGGTTCCGATGTAAGTTCTTGCACTTTTTGAAATTTCAATGGCTTTACCCCGAGCTCACTTTTCAATATTTGCCGAATGGAATATTGCGATATATTCAGCTCACGAGCCTTTTTTCGGTCACGACGCGAGTTTTGATCAAGTCGCTTCTTTACTTTTCGAAGCATTTCTACTGATGTTGCTGTTTTCTTCCGTCCACTTCATTGACGCCGGGCTACGCTACCAGTATCACGGTAACGAGCGATGGTACGAGACATGAAAGATTTATTCACATTTAAATGATGGAGTGCTCTAACGATACCCACTTGTAGTTTTCCAGCCAAATATAAAGAAATCACACTATCACCCTTGAATTCCATCACGAATAACTTTTTTCTGGAAAATTCTCCCCAAAATGCTTTTGTACGCTTCAAAACATTATAATGAGCTGTCACCGGAATAATTTTAACAGCTGTCGGACGAGTGGCTTGGAAATGACAGCAGTCTGAAGTTGGTTTGCAGTTTTTTCATCTCACGTTGTATGTATAATTTCAGGTATGTATTTCCAACCCCCCAAACCTTGTTGTTTCCCCTTTTTCTGATGCGATTTTGAAAGATTCTTGTTGTTTGGTAACGGCATTCAATTACAACTCCATGGATCCTCACAAAAAAGTACACATTCCTGCTACTCATTCTGAATAATTGTGAATGTTTTAATTGCTACCTTATTGCAGTAATTTGTCATTCATTTATGGTCATTCTCATTGCTGAGTATATAATTACATTGTACCTTTGGTGTAGGTATTCCTGTTCCATGGTCTCTCATACTTGCATTTAATAACTCGCTGTCGTAGCTTGGGGCATTTAACCCCATATCCGCCTATGAGTGTGCGCGCGTCTGTGTGTGTGAAGAGTATAAAAGTGAAGAATAGCATTACATCATAGATGCCCAATGTAATAGTATTGGTGAGAGCGACGAAATAACACTGGAAGAAAATATTTTTCTATTCATTTTATTTAGTCGTCAACGAGATAGCGACGAAAGCACATGTGTGGCGGGTGTCGTAATTTTTTGCTTTTTCTGGGAAATGTAAAATTAATGAATGTACAGGGATCGCCGGGTTATACTATTGCGGGACAAAGGTAATTTTTTAATAAAATTAGTGTTAAAATTAAGTTTTTCAAAAACTTGACACAACATATTTTTGACAAACGGCCCATCTGAAAATGGCCTTCCCTTTTTTATAATATATAAACTTATTAAGTTAGATAAACCCATTTTTAAATTCTCCTCCACCATATCTTCATCATTATCTCTATATTGATTTACCCATTCCTTCAACTTTTTTATAAAAAGTTTCTTATACATTTTAAATCGTTTTTCTTTTTCTTCCCCCTGCAAACAATTCATGTCTTTATGAACAGTTTCAAAATGTTTTTTTATTATATTTCTTATTTTTTTAAATGTCTTATAACATATAACACATTGCATATCATCAAAAGCATTTTATAGCATAAAATGCTTTTGAAATGACATCATTGACATATCGCAATAATTTTCAGTTTATGTGTTCACTAACAGCAGTCTCGATTACGATTAAATGTAAATATTACACAGAATTTCTGCCTGTGTAGCTTGTCTCTCCCACTCATATTTCTGCTTTCCTATTGGTTGATTGGCGATCAAACAAAAGAGCGTAAGAATACGTGTGAGTTGAAATTGCTGAAATCAGCCACTACTGGGCATCTATGCATTACATCGAAAACACATGTATGCGTGTGGATATAACAGCAAGTGTATAACAGGGTCCTGGGTGAGCTTGTGGGTAATTTAAGCAATTAACACTCACTTATGCGAGAGCGTCACACGGTTAAACTTTATTTTTTTTTAACAATGTTCCGTGTTATTTGTGCGTACAATCTTTGTTGTAATTGTTGAAATTCTTTCACAATTTATGGTGTTGTCGGAAACGGAAGTGGGCAATAATGAACCAAAAAATGTACTGATATGAAAAGTTTGCTTTTTACAAACCAGAAATGTTGGGAGCTTCATGTACCTATATTGCCAAATATTTAAAGTTTGGAAAATTATCAATCCGATAAGTTTATTTACTTTCTTTTTATTCATAATACCTATTCTTTCATCCGCTAATTTTGTATAAATATGATATGGTATAAATATGATATGGTAGGAATCATCTCCTACTGTGCATACTCTAACGAAAAACAAGTTAGATAGCACCTATCGTTTTGCCAACAATTATTTGCCTTCAGCATATGACCGTCTATTATAAATATTATGATATAAGATAAATACACCAGCTCGTCACCAAGATAGACGGATGTATTTGGTTGGATGGACTACATATATCATGAAACGGATGAATGGGATCGTCCCAAGACACATTTTCGTCCTCTGTCGACATAAAGCTGAAGGAATACAAATTCAGTTTCTGAAAGAGGGAAACCAGTGATGAACCAGTTCCACCCTCTTTTTATACCCTCCACCTTGGAAAAAACGGAATGACAAAGTTAATATATCCTCCAACTTAGTCATTCCGTTTATAACATCCCTAAATATTCGTCGTAGACTCCATAAAGTATATACATTCATAATCAGCATAAAATTCGATTTAACGATGTCCGTATGTCTGTCTGTTGAAATTACGATACAGCCCACATTATTTGACGTAGTGGGTTAAAATTAACAGAACAATTTGTATTGTGTCTAGGATGGTTGGTATTGAAAATGAGATATATCGGTCCACGCTTTGTTATAGCCCCTCCCGATTTTTGGTATTTTGATGATTTTTGCCACATTTTTTTCACGTATTTGTCTAAAAATTGGTATTTGCTAGTCATAATGGGTTCTAGCTACGGTGGCGAAACATTGCAAGATAAGTCCACGATTTGGTATAGCCCCCAAATAATGGTACCTCCCGATATTCGGTATTTTGATGGTTATTGTCACATTTCTTAGCGGATTTGTCTAAAAATTAGTATTTGTGTGTCCTAATGGGTTCTGGCTCCCTTGGCGAAACATTGTATGTATAGGTTCACGTTCTTGTATAGCCCCATATATCGGTACCTCCCGATATTCGATGTTTTGATGATTTTTGCCATATTTTCTTACAAATATGTCTAAAAATTGATATTTGTGGTATTAGTACTAAATTATGATCAAATTCGAAGATAGGCCTAATATATTCTCACCTTCCGACAAAATCAACTGAATATTTTCAAAGCAATTAAAAAGAAGTGCAAAACATTTCAAATTACAACATTTTCTCTCACAACACATACAATTTGTTTTTAATTGCCAACAACCTTAGTCATTTATTCTATTTGCTTCTAACATTCTTCAAATGGAAATTGCCAACCGCTCCCCTTCGAGTCATAAAGAACTTTTATCAAATAAAGCTCGCTTACAATCAATTTCAATTCAAACGTTTTTTTTATTTCTTTGAACTTGCAACAAAGTCCGTGCGGCTTGTTAGCCAAAGTACTTAATAACAATTATCTGGCCATTTATAAAATGAGGCGTATACAGGACATGGTATTTTTTTTTGAAATCGCCAGTGTATAACTTCGTGT